ATACACCGTTAGATGGTCTATGTTATGGTTTCTTCTTCTACTGCGTCTAGAAAATTTTTGCGTTCCTTAGAAACTGAAAAGTCATCCTTATTTTTTGATGGGAAAAATCTGCGAACTACCACCCCTTGAGGCCAGATTTGAGGATTCAATATATCGTTAGATTTAGACTGAGGAATACTAAGTTTAAAAGAGCTATAACTTCCCCCTTTAGAGGGTAACTTTGAACATTTGAAATTTTGGAGATTAATCTCTGATTTCAGACATTCTTCCACTTGACTCGACGTCATGTCAGGATCAATTCGGCCAATATAAAAATGGTGCATTTTTTCTACGCCCCGGAGAGATGACGAAGTAGCGGGTTTGACCCCATTGATAATTTTAGGTTTCCTGTCTGCAAAATTCTGTTTTTTTCGTTGATATCTTGGGAAAGTGAAAGTATTCTTATCATTAACAGGAGAACCTTCCACAGATAAGACACTTGCTTTTTCAATCCTTTTATCAATCAAGTCTGCTGTTTTATCACCAACTACAGTTTTTCCTGGAGAAATATCGTAAGACCTTTTGTGGGTCTTATTTTTTTAAGTAATTTGAACGAACCCTGGGGACTTCCCGTGTCTTGTTTTTGATGTAATGAACTCGGGGACCTAATGTGGGTGATGTTTTTGAAGTATGTACATAATTTGAAAGAATCTCGGGGACATTTAGTGGGTTTTGTTTTTTGAAGTAATTTGAAAGAATCTCGAGGACTTCTTGTGCTTCGTTTTTGAAGTAATTTGAAGGAATCTTGGGGACCTCATGTGGGTCTCGTTTTTGAAGTAATTTGAAAGAATGTCAGGCACTTATTGTGTCTTGTTTTCGAAGTAATTTGAAAGAATCTCACGGACTTCTTGTGTATTGTTTTTGAAGTATTTTGAAAGAATTTTGGGGACTTTTTGTGTCTTGTTTTTGAAGTAATATGAAAGAATCTCGGAGACCATTTGTGGGTCTTGTTTTTGAAGTAATTTGAAAGAATCGCGGAGATTACTTGCGTCTTATTTTTGAAGTAAGTTGAAAGAATTTTGGTGACCTTTTTCTTGTGGATTTTGTTTTTTTGGAAGTATTTTGAAAGAATCTCGAGGACCTTTAGTGGGCTTTGTTTTTTGAAGTAATTTGAAGGAATCTTGGGGACCTCCTGTGGGTCTCGTTTTCGAAGTAATTGAAAGAATGTCGGGCACTTATTGTGTCTTGTTTTCGAAGTAATTTGAAAGAATCTCAGGGACTTCTTGTGTCTTGTGTTAGAAGCATCTTGAAAGAATCTCTAGGACTTCTAATGGGTCTTATTTTTGAAGTAATTTGAAAGAATTTTGGGGACCTTTTTCTTGTAGATTTTGTTTTTTTGAAGTATTTTGAAAGAATCTCGGGGACCTTTAGTGGGTCTTATTTTTTTAAGTAATTTGAACTCCTGTGGGTCTCGTTTTTAAAGTAATTGAAAGAATGTCGGGCACTTATTGTGTCTTGTTTTCAAAGTAATTTGAAAGAATCTCAGGGACTTCTTGTGTCTTGTTTTAGAAGTATTTTGAAAGAATCTCTAGGACTTCTAATGGGTCTTATTTTTGAAGTAATTTGAACAAATTTTGGGGACCTTTTTCTTGTGGATTTTGTTTTTTTGAAGTATTTTGAAAGAATCTCGAGGACCTTTAGTGGGTCTTATTTTTTTAAGTAATTTGAAAGAATCCCGGGGACTTCCCGTGTCTTGTTTTTTAAGTAATGATCTCAGGGACCTAATGTGGATGATGTTTTTGAAGTATGTGCATAATTTGAAAGAATCTGGGGGACCTTTAGTGGGTTTTGTTTTTTGAAGTAATTTGAAAGAATCTCGGGGACTTCTTGTGCTTCATTTTTGAAGTAATTCGGAGGAATCTTGGGGACCTCCTGTGGGTCTCGTTTTCGAAGTAATTGAAAGAATGTCGGGCACTTATTGTGTCTTGTTTTTGAAGTAATTTGAAAGAATCTTAGGGACTTCTTGTGTCTTGTTTTTGAGTATTTTGAAAGAATTCCGGGGACTTTTTGTGTCTTGTTTTTGAAGTAATCTGAAGGAATCTCTGGGACCTCTTGTGGGCCTTGTTTTTGAAGTAATTTGAAATAACCCTGGGGACCTTTTATGGATCTTGCTATTTGAGGTAATTTGAAAGAATCTCGGGGACTTTTTGTGTATTGTTTTTGAAGTAATTTGAAAGAATGTCGGGGATTTCTTATGCGTCTCATTTCTGAAGTAATTTGAAAAAATCTCCGGGACGTCATGTGGGTCTTCTTTTTGAAGTAATTTGAAAGAATCTCGGGGACTTCTAACGTCTTGTTTTTGAAGTACATAATTTGAAAGAATCTCGGGGACCTCCTGTGGGTCTTCTTTTTAAAGTAAATTGAAAGAATCTGAGGGACCTTCTGTGGGTCTTGTTTTTGAAGTAATTTCCAAGAATCTCAGGGACATCCTGTGGGTCTTGTTTTTGAAGTAATTTGACAGAATCTCAGGGACTTCCTGTGGGCCTTCGTTTTGAAGTATCTAATTTGAAAGAATCTCGGAGGCTTCTTGTGTCTTGTTTTTGAAGTAATTTGAAAGAATTTTGTTGACCTCTTGTGGGTCTTCATTTTTAAGAAATTTGAAATAATGTCGAGGATTTCTTGTGGTTCTGTTTTTGAAGTAATATGAAAGAATCCCCAAGAATCTTCTGTAGCTCTTGTTTTTGAAGTAACTTGAAAGAATCTCGTGGATTCCTTGTGTCTTGTTTTTGAAAGAATCTCGGGGACCTCCTGTGGATCTTGCTTTTGAAGTAATTTGAAAGAATCTCGGGGACTTCTCGTGTCTTGTTTTTGAAGTAATTTGAAAGAATAAAGAATCTCGGCGACTTATTGTGTCCTGCAGTAATTTTTAAGAATGTGGGGAACCTCCTGTGGGTATTGTTTTTAATGTAATTTGTGTCTTGTTTTTGAAGTATTTTGAAAGAATTTTGGGGACTTTTTGTGTCTTGTTTTTGAAGTAATTTGAAATACAATCTCGGCTACCACTTGCAGGTCTAATTTTTGAAGTAATTTTTAAAGAATCTCAGGGACTTCTTGTGTCTTGGTTTTGAACTAATTTGAAAGAATTTCGAGGACTTCTTGTGTCTTGTATTTGAAGTAATTTGAAAGAATCTCGAGGACTCCTTGTGTCTTGTTTTTGAAGTAATTTGAAATAATCTCAGAGACCTTTTGTGGATCTTGTTTTTGAACTAATTTGAAAGTATATCGGAGACTCCATGTGCCTTGTTTTTGAAGTAATTTGAAAGAATCTCGGGGACTTCTTCTGTCTTGTTTTTGAAGTAATTTGAAAGAATCACAAGGACCTTTTGTGGGTCTTGTTCTTGAAGTACTTGAAAGAATTTCGGAGACTTCTTGTGTCTTCCTTTTGAAGTAATTCAAAAGAATTCCGGGGACTTCCTGAGTCTTGTTTGTGAATTAATGACCTTGGGGACTTCCTGTGGGTCTTGTTTTTGAAGTACATAATTTGAAGGAATCTCGGACCGTTAGTGTTTTTTTTTTTTGTGGGTTTTGTTTTTTGAAGTAATTTGGAAGAATCTCGGGGAGCTCCTGTGGATTTTGTTTTTGAAGTAATTTGTAAGAATCTTAGGGACCTCTCTGGGTTTTTTTTTTGAAGTAGTTTAAAAGAATCTCGGAGACTTCTTGTCTCTCGTTTTTGAAGTAATTTTAAAGAATGTGGAGTACCTCTTGCGTATTTGATTTTTGTTTAAGTAGTTTGAAAGAATCTCGGAGATCTCCGGTCGGTCTTGTTTTTGAAGTAATTTGAAAGAATCTCGAAGACTTCTTGTGCCTTGTTTTTGAAATAATTTGAAGGAATCTCTTTGACACGTTGTGTCTTGTCTTTGAGTAATTTGAAAGAATCTCGGGCACTCCGCGTGCTTTGTTTTTGAAGTAATTTGAAAGTATCTCCGGGACCTCCTGTGGATCTTGTTTTTGAACCAATCTGAAAGAATCTCGGGAACCACTTATGTTGGTTTTTTTAAGTACATAGTTTGAAAGAATCTCGGGGATCTCTTTTGTTTTGGTTTTGAAGTAGTTTGGTCCGGTCTCTGAAAAGTCGAAATTTTACTTCACTTAAAAGTATATAAAATTTGGATTCGGGAAAATTTCCAATTTCTAGCCCTTTTTTACGAAGCAGTTTATCTAAAGCCCTAGACTTCTAAAATTATTTTTCTTTTTAATATCGTAATTTTGTTTTCCAGCTGAGTCAAGGTGTTTCTATCTGCAGTTCAATTAAACAGATAAAAACACACAACAATTTAATTAAAGCTGAAAACAGCAATAATTGTTAAAAACACGATAAATCGATTGCTGTTCTCGGAATAAAATAACATCAACATCGAGGTCACGGAGCATGACGTGATGCTTCAAGACTCATAACTTCACATATTGTTCACGAGATCTGTTTCTAACTAAAGCAAGCACCATCAAACGACTAACATGCATCAAAACAAAGTTTTCATTTTCTTAGCATTGTGTTTGATGGTGGGTATCGCCCAAAGCATCGTGTGCACCCCGAGCTTCTGTGCATCCGTCCAATGCGTGGAAATCGGAAAGTGCGATGGACCCAACCAAGTTGTGAAACCTGGAGGACTTTGTCTGTGTTGTAACTTATGCCACACGATTTTACGTAAGTATTATTATAATTGTCCTGATGGTGGATACTTAACTGAGTGAAAACGTCTAGGTGAAAACGAAGCTTGCAGCAGCATTGCAACGATTCTGACTGGCGTGCCGCCACCGCTAGCCCAATGTGGACAAGGTCTTGTTTGTCATGAGGAAAAATGCCAGAGCTTTAAGAGTTTAGCTAAAACGATGAGAGAGGAGTGAAATTGCTATTACAAATCATGTAATAATATTAAAATTGATTAAACTGAGTGAATTGTGTGTTGCCTATCCCCGCTTTATCCAGTCGTCTGAAACCACCTTAACATACACGCTCTACAAAAATGACAGATGACAGAAAGATGACACATACTTTGAGGTTGTGTTTGTTCGAATCGTTTAGATAATGTAAAAAGTGGCAAAAACGGGAACGTTAAAATATCCCGGTTCGCCATACAATGTAAATTCTGCTGCACGAGTCCCACAAATCAAAAATATTTTTGCAAACACCGAGTCCCCCTTCAAGATTTCATAATGAAAATGGATTTTCTTGCGCCGAATAACGAAAACCTGCTGGCGAATTTCCCCCCGGTCTTGCGAGGCAACTTCAGGGAGCTGTTTTGCCGTGGAAAAATAGGTACTAACCTAAAATCCTCAAACGTAGTCGTTACGACGCATTTTCTAGGGCTTTCGTCGCTTTCCTTGAACGACATCACCCCGACGAAACAGTTCACCGATGAAGACTCTAGTTACAGTTATTACTACACGGTGAGGATACCCTACGCCGGGAAACGCTTATCCTGGGAGTTGATTTTCGACCCGAATGATCTTACTTTCGCGCCGGATTTCAATTTCAACGACGAAACTTTCCGTCTGAGTACCGAAATCGAAGCCGTGGTGAAAAACGTGCCCACTTTGATCAGTTGGAATGTGACCAACTCCGGGTGTTTGACGTCGCTTCTAAACGAATTTGTCAATCTTTTCAAAATACAACAATTGGAGAAGCTTCAGAAGGAGAATATTTACGCACAACTGCACTCAGAGTATCAGATTCTCACCGAAGAAGTGCCAGAACACGACATCGAAGTATATCTAGACAACACAAGTGCACACTTTTTAATTAACATCAAAGTGGACGTTTCGGCGCTTCCAGAGTATTTACAACCAATGTAACCCGAGTTTTGTTTTTTTTTTAGAATTGTTGGAATTAATTTCTTGTTGTAGGAAAAACGGCGAAGTAGAGGAGTTGCTCAACCCCGGAGATGACACCTGTATTTTAAAAATTTCCTTTATGAAACTAGACGGTTCTCGAGTGAACGTCTCCCTCCAGTTGTCTCCGCGTCTAGACCAAGTCCTCAACTCCGCCAAAAACCTCCACGTCCCGGCGTACCCCAAAACCGCGTCGCTGGCCGACTACGTCAATTTAGTCGCGAAGATGTTGCAAGACCACGCTCTGAAAATCGAGCAACACCACAAGCTCAAAAAGGAGTACATCTTGAGCTTGTGCACCATGTACGGCGAACACCTCGTCGAGTTCGATACGGATACGTTCAGCAAGGCCGAGTTGTTGTTCCAAGTGGATGGGTATTCCTGTCTCGTGCGCGTGGAAATTGGTAAGTGGGGGTGGGGTGAAAGCAGGGTTGTATCAGGGTGTTTTGCAGGGGCGCTGTTTCCAGACGAACCACCGACCGTGCACCTCCTGTCGCTGTACTGTGTGTCTAACAAAGTGTGTTCAGAACAAGTTGTGAATTATTTGTATAGCCCGAGGTGGTCGCCGGAAAATATGTGTAGTAAGTTGATTTTGAGCCTTAAAGAGACAATACCAAAGTTTAAGAACCACAAGCACTAATTTCGTTTGAATTTATTTTTTAGTTGTGTAAATTTAGGATGAGGATTATGTTTACCAGGTTGCCAAAATGTGCGTTTTTGTTTAATGAGTGATGATTTTCACGTGTTACGATAAGAATAATAAAAATTTTTGCAGGATTATTTTTTTTTACGCTATGATTTTTTTACGGATGGTGAAATGACGTTTTGTTGTTCTGCTTTGGCTCTCCCGCGATAGGTGGCGCCATCGAAAAGTACTCTATTTTTTTTTTTGATACAATTATTTAAATTTTTCACATGCAATAAATATTACTAAAAAAATATAAGAGACATATTTTTATTAAACAGATAATCTCCGAAACTACTGAACCATTTGTTCAATTTTTTATGTCTATTACGAATATCGTGAAATTTAACTGCAAAATATTTTTTCTTTACAAGAAATTAAAAACAGGTTTTTGAATATCGTGTTGATCAAATAATACCACGTATATTAAGAAAAACAGGAAAATATAAACCCCGCCCACCCACCCTATCCTAATTGTTATGATTCTTTGTATTCTTAGAAACTTAAAACACGATTAAAATGGTAAATTTTTGTAGGGAAATGTGAATTTTGCAGTTAGGCTCCGTCCCTATACCTAGCAACGAAGGAAAATCTGATTACTACATATTTAGATCAGGGCAGGTATGGGTGAGGCTTAATCTTTGGATTTTGCAGTTAAGCTCCGCCCTCTTTTTCCACGACGAATACAAAAAATCACCACAATCGGGATAGGGTGGGTGGGCGGGGCTTATATTTTGCCTTTTATTTTGCTTAACATACATAGCCATCTTGTCACAACAAGAAACTTAAAACATGGTTTAAATGGTACTTTTTTGCAAGGAAATATGGAATTTCCAATTATGGGGAGGAACCTAATTGCAAAATCGATATTTCCTTATACAAATTTTCTACTTCAAAGATGTTAAAACAAAAAGAAAAATTGTAACCCCGCCCACCCACCCGATCTCAATTGTGATGATTTTTTTTATTCGCCGTTAACCAAGGGGGCGGAGTTTAACTGCAAAATACTTATTTCTTTCCAAGAAATTAAAAACATGTTTTTGAGTAGCAAGTTGTTCAAAGAATACTAGGTATATTAAGAAAAAACGGCAAAATATAAGCCCCGCCCACCCACCCCAACTTAATTGTGATATTTTTTATTCTTAGAAACTTAAAACACGTTTAAAATGGTGTGCGGAAGTATAGATTTTGCAATTAGGCTCCGCCCCTAGGTCTAGCAACGAATGAAAACTTAATTACTACATATTTAGATCAGGGCAGGTATGGGTGGGGCTTAATCTTTGGATTTTGCAGTTAAGTTCCGCCCTCTTTTCCCACGACGAATAACAAAAATCACCACAATCGGGATAGGGTGGGTGGGCGGGGCTTATATTTTGCCTTTTATTTTGCCTAACATACATAGCCATCTTTTCACAATAAGAAATTTAAAACATTGTTTAAATGGTACATTTTTGCAAGGAAATATCGAATTTCCAATTATGGGGAGGAACCTAATTGCCAAATCGATATTTTCTTATACAAATTTTCCACTTCAAATATGTTAAAACAAAAAGAAAAATTGTAACCCCGCCCACCCACCCTATCTCAATTGTGATGATTTTTTTTATTCGCCGTGAACCAACGAGGCGGAGTTTAACTGCAAAATACTTATTTCTCTACAAGAAATTAAAAACAAGTTATTGATTATCGTCTTGTTCAAAGAAAACTATGAATATTTTGAAAAAAAGGCACAGTAGAAACCCCGCCCGCCCACCCTATATGAATTGTTTTTTTTTTCTTAGAAACTTAAAACATGCTTAAAGTGCTAAATTTTTGTGGGGAAATATGGATTTTGCAATTAGGCTCCGCCCCTAGGTCTAGCAACGAATGAAAACTTGATTACTACATAATTAGATCAGGCCAGGTATGGGTGGGGCTTAATATTTGGCTTTAATTTTTTCTGAATATACATTGTATTCGTTGAACAACACGATACTCAAAAATATGCTCTTAATTTCTCGTAGAGAAATAAGGATTTTGCTGTTAAGCTCCGCCCTCTTTGCCCACGACGAATAAAAAAATCGCCACAATTGAGACCGGGTGGGTGGGCGGGGCTTATATCTTGCCTTTTATTCTGCTTAACATACATAGCCATCTTTTCACAACAAGAAACTTAAAACATGGTTTAAATGGTACTTTTTTGCAAGGAAATATGGAATTTCCAATTATGGGGAGGAACCTAATTGCAAAATCGATATTTCCTTATACAAATTTTCTACTTCAAAGATGTTAAAACAAAAAGAAAAATTGTAACCCCGCCCACCCACCCTATCTCAATTGTGATGATTTTTTTTATTCGCCGTTAACCAAGGGGGCGGAGTTTAACTGCAAAATACTTATTTCTTTACAAGAAATTAAAAACATGTTTTTGAGTATCGTGTTGTTCAAAGAATACTAAATATATTAAGAAAAAAGGGCAAAATATAAACCCCGCCCACCCACCCTATCTCAATTGTAATGATATTTTTTTATTTTTAGAAACTTAAAACACGTTTAAAATGGTGTGCGAAAATATAGATTTTGCAGTTAAGTTCCGCCCTCATTTCCCACGACGAATAAAAAAAGTCGCCACAATTGGGATAGGGTGGGTGGGCGGGGCTTATATTTTGCCTTTTATTTTGCTTAACATAGATATCCATCTTTTCACAACAAGAAACAAATGTTTTAAATTTTAGATTTTTAGATTTTTCAGTTCTTCAATATTTTTTAATTTTTCAAATTTTGACGTACATATCAAAATTTTCAGATTTCCGATTGCTCAATTAATCTACTTTTTGATTTCTCAAAGTTTCGATCTTTCAGTTCTTCAATTTTTCGATTTTTCAGATTTTTGATTTCTCAATTTTTCAATTCTTTAACTTCATAATTTTTGAATATTTCGTTCAATTTTGTGATTTTTCAGTTTTTCGACTTTTAGTATTTCGACTTTTCGATTTTTCTAATTCTGGATATTACCATTTCTCGATTTTTTACTGTTTGGATTTTCAATTTTTCGTTTCTTAAACTTCCCATTTTTCAATTTTTCGACTGTTTTATACTTCGATTTCTTAATTTTTCAACTTTAGTTTTTCGATTTCCCGACTTTTCAGTTCTTCTATATCAATTTTTCAATTTTCGGAATTTTTAAATTATTGATTATCCATTTTTTTTATCTTTCGATTTTCCATTTTGTTTTAATCTCTCGATTTTAAAATTTTTCGATGTTTCGATTTTTCATTTATCCAATTATTCAATTTCTCGGCGAAGTCGAAACTCCAGAATTTAAAATATTGAAAAATCCAAAATTTAAAAATTCATAAAATTGAAAAATTAAAATATCGAAAAGTTGAAAATTGAGAAACCGAAATATAAAACAGTCGAAACATTGAAAAATATAAAGAATGAAAAACGAAAAACTAAAAATCCAAAAAATAAAAAATCGAAAAATCCAGAAGTCGAAAGCAACGAAATATTGAAAAATCCCAAAACTGAAAGAAATATCCAAAAATTGAGAAATTAAAAAACTGGAAAATTCAGAAATCGAAAAACCCAAAAAGCAAACTCGAAAAATCGAAGAACTGAAAAACTAAAAAATCGAAACTTGGAGAAGTCGAGAAATAGGAAAATCAAAAATATTTTGCTATTTATTTTGCTTAACATAAATAGCCATCTTTTCACAACAAGAAACTTAAAACATGGTTTAAATGGTACATTTTTGCAAGGAAATATGGATTTTCCAATTATGGGGAGGAAGCTAATTGCAAAATCGATATTTCCTTATACAAATTTTCTACTTCAAAGATGTTAAAACAAAAAGAAAAATTGTAACCCCGCCCACCCACCCGATCTCAATTGTGATGATTTTTTTTATTCGCCGTGAACCAAGAGGGCGGAGCCTAACTGCAAAATATTTATTTCTTTACAAAAAATTAAAAACAAGTTTTTGAATATCGTGTTGTTCAAAGGATACAATGTATATCAAGAAAGAGAGGCAAAATATAAACCCCGCCCACCCACCCTATCTCAATTGTGATGTTTTTTTTTATTCATAGAAACTTGAAACACGTTTAAAATGGTAAATTTTTATGGGGAAATATGGATTTTGCAATTAGACTCCGCCCCTCAGTCTGGCAACGAATGAAAACTTCATTACTACATTTTTAGATCAGGGCAGGTATGGGCGGGGCTTAATCTTTGGCTTTAATTTTTCTTAATATACATAGTATTATTTGAACAACACGATACTCAAAACATGTTTTTAATTTTTCACAGAGAAATAAGGAGTTTGCAGTTAAGCTCCGCCCTCTTTGCCCACAACGAATAAAAAAATCATCACAATTGAGATAGGGCGGGTGGGTGGGGCTTATATTTTGCCTGTTTTTTTTAAGATGTGTAGACTTATTTCGACAACAAGAAACTTAAAACATATCTAAAATGGTAAAAGTTGAATATCAAAGTTACTATCAACGGCAACTTAACAATAGAGTTTATAATTGCAAAATATAAGCCCCGCGCACCCGCCCTATCTCAATTCTGAAGATTTTTTTATTCGTTGTAAACCTTAATCCTGATTTTTTTATGAGAAAATACCACGTGAAATATGTTCTTAAGTAATCGTGTTATACAAAGAAAACTAAATTTTTATTTTTTGATTTTTTGATGTTAGGATTTCTCGATTTTTTAATTTTGTGATATTTTAATTGTTCGATATTTTAAATTAGGATTTTTCAGTTGTTCAGTATTTTTATTTTTCAGTTTTTCATATTTTGACGTTGCTAAATTTTCAGTTTTCCGATTTCCCAATTAATCTATTTTTGATTTTCCTATTTGTCGACTTCTCCAAGTTTCGATTTTTCAGTTCTTCAATTCTCCGATTTTTCGAGTTTGCTTTTTGGGTTTTTCGATTTCTGAATTTTCCAGTTTTTTAATTTCTCAATTTTTGGATATTTCTTTTTGGGATTTTTTAATATTTCGTTTCCTCGACTTCTCGATCTTTCGACTTCTGGATTTTTCGATTTTTGATTTTTTGGATTTTTATTTTTTCGTTTTTCAATCTTCGGATTTTTCAGTGTTT